AAATAAAATAAAAAAATAAAATAAAATAAAATAAAATAAAATAAAATAAAATAAAATAATAAAATAATAAAATAAAATAAAATAAAATAAAATAAAATAAAATAAAATAAGTAAAAGTGCTCCCCTTAGCACTCTGAGCTTTGCTCTACCTACAGGTAATTGAACCTGCCAAATGTGGGTTTGGTTCAGCCTGAGCTGAACACAGCCACATCAAAGCTCTGCACCTCCGCATGGAAAGGGCCCATCTTACGTAGAGGTACCTGGGAAAGGTGCTGATGGTGCAGGTTGCATCAGCCTTTGCTCCAATATATTCATGTCACCGGGAATGCCAGCCTTGGGAACGGCTCCCTGGGCACTGCTGCTGGAGCCCAGGGCAGCTGGAGAGCAGCRGGAGCTGAAGCCCCTCGGGCCAGGAACGTGAAGCGGGTTGGGACCCAAACGTGTGACCTGCATCTCCAGCCATGTCCTGATGAAACCATTTTCCCTCGCACAGACACACCTCCTGTTCTCCCAGCAGCTGACACACCTGCACAGCAAGAGTTGAAGAGTTAATCAGCTCCCTGCCAAGCTAAAATGCACAAGGTTATGCTCCCTGTTGCTTCTTGAAGATTGCCTGATTCTGCTCCTTATCTGGCAGCCCTCGAGCCAAATSCAGCCCTGCCTCCCAACTATCCCAAGCCCAGGGTGCTGCCCTGCCATCTGTGGAGTCACAAGGCAGAGCCTTCATGGTTTTTAGGAGTGCTTGCAAAGATGAGAAGTTCTGACAAGGGAAGTACCAAATTCAGCCTTTTCCTCCCCAGAAGATGGAAGTGATTGTGTAACCTTCCCCTCTCCTCTAACAGAGGCAAGAATATTTGAGTATATTTAAGAATTGTTTGGCTTCCTCTTTTTTCAGCATTGACAGCAGTGGCCATCACAATTACTGTTTGCCAGTGCACACCGAGTTTGCTTGCAAAGGTCAGTGATTGCTCCCAAAAGAAGGAAAACCCAGTAAAATTGGGTTGACTCCAGTTTCTGGGGGGAGAAGGAGAAGGGGGTGCAGGCTCTGCATGGTTCAGCAGCTGCTCCCCTGGCACTGTGGCAGCAGCGGAGCCACGCGGGATCAGACGGTGTCAGACCGGAGTCCCAGCCCAGATCTGCCAGCGAGTGCCTTCTGTGATGTGCAAATTGTTTCAACCAGTTTCTCTACAGGGTGGAGAAATAAATCTCTATTCCTTTCATTCTAGCACTATGAGATCATATTAATATTAAAAAGGGGCATGCCCAGCTCTAGAATTAGAACTCAAGACACTTTCCATTAAAGATCTGATGCATAAATAAAAAAGATAATTATTACACCAGCAAGTAAGGCAGTTATGGAGTTAGAGTACCAATTCCTACTACTCTAGTGAAGGATTTATCTTGGACAAAATGGGAGCAAATCCCTGAAATTCTCATTCACAAAAGGTGCACTGTCAGCTCTCACAGGAACAGATTCCCAGCTCTGGAATAATTTAGTGGATAGTAAAGAAGGCAGGGCAGTTGTGGCTAATTTCCTGGACAATTTCCAGGTTACAGCTGAAATGCCTTGTGACAATCAATCATTTCCACAACTTGTAGGATTTCTTGGCGTAAGACAACATCAAACAAATAAAAAGTCCCCACCTAAAAATGTCCTTATTGCCACCATGGAAAGGACAGGGTCACACACTAACCAGGTTGAATTACCTGGGGAAAAAAGGTAGACAAAAAACCCAGCTTGCTTTACCTTGGAATCACTGCTTCCCTCAGTGCTGCCCCAGCTGTCAGAATAAGCACTTTCAGCTGCCTGCAGGTTCAGCTGCCGAGCACTTTGATATCCCTCTGATGAAAGGCTCCGTGCACAGCCATTCCCTCAGCCCACATCTTCTCCTTCACACGGGTTACTGGAAGCGAGTTAATGTTTATTAGAGGAGAAAAAAAGCACAAAGCAAAGAAGTGAGGGGTGCCTTTTATTAAAGCTAATTTCTGAGGCCARCCCACACTTCCCACTGCTGGCAAAAAGGCTTGGTGTTATTGCTTCTGTTTGGTGCAGCCGTTTGAATACAGAACAAAACCTTTCGCTGGGTACTGATAAAGCCAAGGCGATAACTACTCATAACCTGCAATCTGGGAGTCTATATTACACATCTTTCTTATTCCAACTGCTAACAGGAAAGTATTTCCTCCTTTTTTTTTTTTTTCTTCCTTTAGCAAGAAACACTTTACCAGTCAGAAGTCAATGAGATGATGATGCAAAATGCCAATGACAATTCAGCCAACACCATCCACATGCTGAGCAGTGAGAGGGAAAAAGTTCCCACTGACAAATAAATGCTTTTGGAAGCTACTAACACCTCACTGGGTCAAAACCTCCTGTAGGAAGGGAAATTTCTGTGCTCACCTGGCAGGTAGCACCAGAACCAGCACAAAGCTTAGTACCCACAAGATCTTGGGATATTTAAAACCTTCTTACCAACCAGCACTGGGCAGGGGAGATTTCACRGCTGCTTCCTCTTTGTAAATGATTATGTAAAAGGCTGGTCTAGCTTCTGATACGTGTTTAACCATAAAAGTCCACTAAACAAATATTTTCAAATGCTTTGATGTAAAGAATAATGGCAACAATCATCTGCACCCATTAGAAAGTGTTTCRCTAGGAAAGGAGTGTTCATTATCAGCAAACAGCACAGACCAAATGAACCAGATGATTCATTAAAAACAATGACCCACCAAAGCTGGCTGGTTTAGGATAAAAAAATGAACCACAGCCATTGTTTCTCTGCTTCAATGGCAGTTTCTGAAGAGAACAGAACCTCAGATATTCATTACTTTTAAAGAACGGTAGGCCAATGCTGCAGAAGCATTTTGATAACAGAAAGCCAAGACTTGYAAACTGCTAATTTTACTCCACCTCAGTTTCCAGTTCCTTTTTTTTTCCCACAAAACTTGATTTAGGAAATTAGGTTTGTGGTTCAAGAGCGTGTCAGACCACACCTAATCCAGTCCTCAGGGTGCAGGTGGATGGGTGATAAAAACACAAAGTCTGAGAGGAAGAATCTGGGCTTAAAGCAGAGCAAGAAGAGAGACATGGACASAGCCTCCAGTATCCCCCAAAGCACTACCAGGTTTGCAAAAGGGAAGCTGRTTTAAAAGTCCTGCTGCACAGACAAAAGCAAGCACAGTTTTGACCAGCAACACCATCCAAAATGCAGAAATAATGGTAAATTCAAAGATTTTTCCCTGAATAGCTGTATTTCTGAGAGGATTCAAGACACATCTTTTGATAGTAACAAAAGCTCCACATATCTTCAAAGAGYCTAGCACCTAACAAGACAGTGAGGACAGAAGGAATGATGCCCCTATGTACTTGTGAGAAAGTCCAYCTGCCTTTGCTCTGACTCTCCAGCCTCTAAGACCTGCAATCACCTCACATCTCTYACCATTGGATCATCACTGTTTGGAAAGAAGGATGTTGCATCAGAGAGGAGACAGAAAACAGTAAAAAACATAAGAAAATATCCTAAAGGAAAAATTGAGTGTTCTTAGCTACATAGACAATGATTTATTCTACACAAGCCTCCTATAAATGTAATGTATAACATTCATCTGTAAGGGTGAAGGCAGGTATGTTATTCAGTTAAGATCAAAATTTAATTATAAGGTATATATATATATATATATATATGTAAAAAGAAATAACAGTATGGGATGATAAAAACTGTATGTGGTTGCCCTCTGGTTTCTGATACTTTAGTTATCTATGTTAAGACTATAATATAAACTATCAAATTATTCTAACTACTCTCATTTTTCTGATAAATACTTAATTAAATATCCCTATACCTCTTTCAAGTCCATCAAAAAGGTGCTTTTTATTCCCTTCCAGGCCTAGTATCTCCAGTCCATAAAAAAGGCAACAATAAACATACCTCAGACTCTTCTTCCTCCAAACCGGGTTCTTTGCATCCTTGGTTTTCCTGGTACTGGAAGACTTTTTAGCAGAGCCTGGAGCTGGATAAGGATTAGCAACCTGACTGCAAAGCACTGAAAAACATTACCCAAACAGCTGAAAGAAAAAAAGAGAACATGTTCTCCAGACACATGCAGAACCTTTTTCATTTGCAGCAAGAGCAGAAATTATTTCCAGCAGGAGGAAGCTGTACAATCAGCTGTCAGCCACTGAGTGTTAACTCTCATCASGACCTGGGTTACACCACCAACTCTAATGTTCATGGATGTGAATCATCTCCTTAACCTCAATGAGGATGTCCACAGTTGGAAGTAAATGTTACKGAGATTTTTCTAAATTACCTGACATAAAAGCACAGATCACAGAATAYGCTGACTTGGAAGGGACACAGCAGGATCATTAAGTCCAACTCCCAGCACTGCACAGCACCGTCCCTAAGGGTGACCTTATGTGCCTGAGAGCACTGTCCAAATGCTTCCTGAACTCTGCCAGGCTTGGTGCAGTGACCACTGCCCTGGGGAGCTGTTCCAGTGCCCAACCACCCCCTGGGTGAAAAACCTTTTCCTGATATCCAACCTAAACCTCCCCCAACACAACTTCAGGCCAATCCCTCGGGTCCTGTCACTGTCACCACAGAGCAGAGATCAGTGCCTGTCCCTCCTCTGCCCCTCACAAGGAAGATGCAGACTGCAATGAGAACTCCTCAGTCTCCTCTCCTCCAGGCTGAGCACACCAAGTGCCCTCAGCTGCTCCTCATCCTGCTCCCCCTCACGGCCCTTCGGCATCCTCCTGTCCTCCCTTGGACACTCTAATACCATTGTATCTTTTTTAGATTGCAGTACCCAAAAGAGCTCCCAGGACTCAAGGAGAGGCCACCCCCAGGTCACAGCAGAGTGAGACAACCCCCTCCTTGCTGGGTTTGCAGTGCAGGGCTTGGTGCATCCCAGGACAAGGGTGGCCCTCCTGGCTGCCAGGGCATTGTGGTTGCACTGATCTTAAGCATGATGAAAGAAAATGGCTTATAAATTTATTCTACACATTTAAAAAAGATAAGCATGAAATAGAAAAGGTACATGTGCTTAGCTCATTAGCAGATACATTTAATAAGAGTATGATAAAGCACTACGAAATTCAAAATTATGTTAAAACAAGAATTAACTTGGGCATCACTAACACATGAAARCCAGTGTGTTGCCTTTGCACACAAGCAAGGCCTGATTTTGAAACATGTATGCAAGAAGATGTGTACAAATGTTTATATTTGAACTTCATCCAACAGTAACATTTATAYATCCAGGTATAAATATATAAATCTAAATATATAAAAACAACCTTCATTTTTCCCAAGACTGAACGCATGATGACTTGTATCCACAACATGGGCTAGAAATAAATGTTCGTATCAGAACTACACAAGTGGAAATAATAGTTATTTTGAAACTTCTCTGAAAAGGTGGGCCTCAAATTATCAGGTATTGTTCCTGGTTAAAGATTTATTTAAAATAACCTCAATTGGCTTCATTATTGCAAAGAYCATGTGAATAAATCACAAACTTTCTAATATAAAGGACTAATTTTCACTAAAATAAAAACAAGCAAGGTACCAAATAATTGCAGCTGCTAACAGACAACACAAGGGATTTTAACTTTTGCTGTCACCAGCTGATAAATAYAAATAAAGACTAAATATATATAAATCAAAAATTTTGCTCAGTAAATATTGTAAGAGATTTTTCTATAAATATGATGCTGATTCATGCAATAATCATGTTAAATTCCTAAAAATTTAAAAGTATTATCTTTATTACAGTTCCAAATTACTAAGATCCTTAGATAACTCAACTTTCCTAAAAAATCTTTCAAAATTATTTTGATTTTGTATTTTTATTATTTTCCATCATTTTGAATTGCTTCCTACTCTTTGTTTACACACAAACTTGGCTGACCAYCCATGCTTATTATCAAGGTAGTATTTCAGATTTTGACTTTTTAAGCCTTCGCAGTTTTAACTTCCCAAGACCACTGTCCACTTCTTTTTTTCTTTTTTGGGAAAGTTTGTCTGAAGACACAGAGTGCAGTTCTGGACAYGATGTTGGCACTGCAGGCAACTCCTCGGTGGCTGAGCTTGGCTCATTTTGGCTTCTCTGCACTCCACTGCTCACAGAAAGAGACCAGGATGAGTTTTTTCTCAAAGTCARTGATTTCCTGTCAGCCACAGTCTTTGCCATGTCTTGCTTTGAAAACAAATTGGAATTAAGGGGTATCTTCTCCTCCACAAATGGACCAAAACAATTATCATCACGCACACTCGTTTCTGTATTGACAGAAGTTAAAGGAGTCTTTTCAGAGGACCCTACAGTGAAATGCTCCAACTTCTCCTCTAAACCACAGGTCTTTAGCTGAGCCTGTGTTTTGGTCACTCTTTGATTTTGTTTTGGACCCAGCAGTGCTGACTCAGAGCTGCAAGGAGGGCTCTCACTCAGAAGACTCGCCTTCAACCGCTCCAGAGGGTGAGGTTTTTGCTGGCTGAGAACATCATCTGGCTGTCTCTGATTAACATCATTTCTCTGCTCTAAAACAGGAAGCTCCAAGCTGCTCTCAGCTGTGTTTGTGCAGTCCTTCAGCAGGCCTGGACTCCTACGTTTCACATCAGACSGAGCACTGAGAGAAGCCTGACAGTCCTCTCTGTTCTCTGTCTGTGATTCCACCGAGCCAAGATACACTTTCTTGGAGTCCTTGCTGATTTGAGGTTTGCTTGCACTACTTCTCTTTCGTTTTTTCCTTTTCACACTGCAATAAAAAGGAATTTTGTTTTTTTTAAATTAAAAAAGAATCTTTACTGCCTTGATCTACCATTTTTCCAACTCTGRAACACCACTTCGGCCACCCTCTTTCTGAACATGGAAAAAATCCCTGTATATCATCTTGACAAGCAGCAATGTTTGTCTAGTGTGGATAATATCAAGCRTTATCCATCTGATTTTCCACTGTGCTAGGGAGAACCCTATTAATTAATGACTAAGCCATGAAGGAGTGAGTTCACACTGTTTTCCAAGAGGCAGAACTGCATTCATTGCAGATGTTAAAGGTCAACACGAGTATAYTGAATTCCTTTCTGAACCGGCTGGATAAAATAGCATTTCCTAAGTGCCTAAATGATTGCAAACCATTCCCATATATCCCCATGCATAATGCATATCTACAGGACAGAGGGGGCAGGCGGGGAGAGGCAGCGAGTGTGTCTTTGTGTGAGAGTTCCTAATCTCTATTTTAGAATGTTCCTCTGGAATTTTTCCCAGGACATTTCAAAGCATTACTTTAAAGTTAACCACCACTCATCTAGTATCAAGCCCATTCATCTGGCAAGGACTTAGGTAATGCAAGTAGATGATATTCTAAAAGGAATTATACAGGAAAATGGGATCACAAGGGACCTGATGGAGTGTCAGTACATAAACACCCCTCAGCAGTGCCTTACCTATGGGTCTGAATTTCACACAGCCCATAAGATGAACTTTATGCCCAACAAGTGAGGCTGAACTTTGAGTCTAAACTCAAAAGTTACCATAGACAGCCCAAGCTGAAACCACTTTTTGGTGCTCAGCAGCTCCCAGGTCAGCATATCYAACACTTCTCAAAGAGGGCTCATCCAAAACAGGTAGAGCTGGAATACTGCCAAAGCTAATCTCATTTCTAAAGACAACACAGATGAGACAACATGGTTAAAAAGAAAAGTTGCCAGGGTTCCCAGSAAATCCCTGATTTCACAGGTGATTTGGGGCTGCTGGCAGCTCAAACAAGTCCCAGTGGCATCCTGGTACTGCAGATTAGCAGTGACATATTCAGCTGATCAGCGCACCCTTCACTCCACCAGGGACACTCTTTAATTGATCAGTAATCCAGATTCTCAAAATGAACAAAAAACCCCATATTTGTAAAGTGTTTTAAACCAGATTCAAGCATCACGTATTTATTTTGGCTCAGAACTGCATTCAAGGAAAAACAACAGCTTGTTTTGACTCTGCCTAATGCTATGTGTGATATCTATGTGGGTTGTAATAGCTTTCTCCATGCTGTAAAAAAAACAAAAATCATTTTATATGCTTATCCACATTACAGTTGTAATCTCTTAGCAATTTAAAACAATCTTTTGTAAAGTACTTTATATTATTTAAAATTTTATTACATAAGCTACATTGTACCAAACTAAGTTTTACCAATTATAGATCCAAAAGCTTAGAAATAATAGTGGCATACATCTTTTTCAGGATGTCTTGTTTTAGTTGTTCACACAGACTAATCTTAGTCTTCTTGTTCTTAGCAGATTCAGTAAAATATTCAGACGTCCCATTGGAAAGTTCTTCTTTCTGCTCCAAAAGAAAACACAGGTTTAAAACATGACAAATCAAGCTATGATTATTCAACAGAAAACTCCATTTCTAATACTAAGATTTACAGCTGTTCTTTATTATTTTGATCTGAACAGTCTAAGAGAAACAATTATTTTTAATCTTTTAATATTTGGGAGTCTAGTCAGTTCCCTCCCCTTGACTCCCAACCAACATATTTTGTATGCTAAAACACACCGCAAACAAACAAGACTGCAATGTAAAGGATGTATCTTTCCAAACCATCTGAGGAAACTGTTGGCAAATATTTGACATCTTTGTGGCTCAAACTGTGACAAATGCCAGGAATCTCTCTTGCAGACAGGAGCATGCTTGTCAGYTTTTTTTTCTGAAGAGACTGACTGGCGCAGTGGTCTATACACTTATTCTCAGAGGAATTCCCATAATTTTCCATACTCACAAAAAAACATACAGTGTTATTTGCTCATTGAACAAGGCAAGGGTTAAAACTTTTAATTCTAACATTTAAACACTCACAGCTTGTAGTGGTTGGCTACTGCAGGACAACAGGGGAATTCTTTCTGGTCTCAGCTAACAGCAGCACCATCCTTTTATATAATAYGAGGTTGGGGCGAGCGGGAGGGAAGTAAAATGCTCTTTTTCTTCAAGCTGTGAGCACTTCCTTTCACAATGAAACAATCTCAATCAGAGAAGGGCCATTTGCTGATTTCACTATTAACTACCACAAACTCMAAAAAAGTATTCTCTGAGGCTATGAAGGAAAGAGAAGTGGTAAAGACAAGAAGAGAAGAGGGGCTTTGTGCATCTCCTTGCCTTTGAGAGCCATTTTCCTCCATCAGCCTCCATGATGCAGCCTTTGTCTGACAGGGGCTCCCCAAATGCAGGGGGTGCTGATTTAGCCTGTTCCTTGGTGAAGTGAGGGCATGGAACCAGATGGTATGGAAGAACTGAGGGACAMAGAGAAGGCCAGCAGAGGCACAAGGCCAAAGCCTGTACGTGACCCCTGCCTGGAACATCCCTTGGGAACCTGTCACTTAGGGGACATTAAGCCCTACCCATTTTTATTTGTTTTAAAGGAGCGGGTGGATGGGGGGACCTCCATGCTCTCTCCAGAAGAAACAGCCAGTGAAAACAGCTTCCTGTTTTGCAAGCAGAGGAGCATAATCAGGCAAAGAAGTAAAGCCATTTTGGCACTTAAAAAAAATGACAGCTGTTCTRAGCCTTCCTTTCAGAGACAAGTTACACAAACATGTGCATTGAGCGATGCATGAAGTTCTGTCCACTCATGGTGCAATGAGGGTGTTTACAGCAGGCAGAAAACACATGGAGCATACATGCAATGTGATCTCAACCTCAGAAATCAAGCTTAACGAGTTTAATCTGAGSGATTAATTGCTGCTTCTATTCTTGTTTGAGGCAGATTCCCCTAATTTGACTAAATTTATTTTCATACTGYCAAAGCTATTAAAGATGGGAATACTATTAAGATACTCAAGCATTCTRCTAATTTTAGGAGAAGGCAGAGACTGCAAAGTCTGTAGAAACTACTTTGATTTCCAGTAACAGCGACACAACTTGGAGGCTGAAGGATCTTGCACAATCATTCTGCATCAAAGCAGCTGGAGAGCACTCRTACTTGGCCAGAGAGCAGGAGCCCATTTGAGTTCCTGCTGGGTGGAAACGGGTAAGGTTAATTCTGTTAAACCTTCTTCAGTCCCCAACGCACTGACCAAGCCAGGATCAGCAGCCCACTAAARCCATTCTTGTTGCTGTGGTAAGCAATGCGTGGAAAGCAGCCCTTGGTACAAAATCCAGGGGAGGACTGGGGACGGTTCCTGTCCACACAAAACTCACTACTGCAGATAAGCAATAAACCCCAGTTCTAAGTGATTATGAACCCTGCAGGATTGGTATGGTCCTGCCAGAGTGTGAGGAGCAGATCCTGCAGAGAGGCAAGGATGAGGAGTTGAGTCAGGCTGSAGTTAATGGCCCCAAGTTGCAGGGTTAACACATTCCCTCACTGCGCTGTCATCAACCTTTTGTTTTGCTTTCAAGTAAACTTATCACATAAAGCAGTGACAGAAAGGGTTAAGGCATCAAAAAAAGTAAAAATTGAAATGATTTATATGTGAAACACTTCTGAACATGCCCTCTAAGTACAGTAGATTTTCCCCTCGGAACCACACCCTGTAAGTGCTGCATTTGAGAGCTGAACAATTAACATAAGGCATATGAGTCAGTCTTTGAAAGACTCTGTGGGAACCAGAGAGCCTTTTGCTATTAGGAGTGATGTAAACTCCCTAAGGCTGGAATAAGTCCACAATAGAAGGCAGAGAGTCATAAATAACAACAATGGGCACTCCATATACTACTAAGACACACAGACATTATTGGTGATACTTCCTTTATTTTCTTTATTAGACTTAATAATTTTAGTTAATTAAAAAAAAAAAAAATAAAACCCACGGTCTGTTTTGGGAATACTATTTATTTCCTATGGGAACTTCAGGACTTGTTAAAGAAAGAAAAAAAAGCTAATCTGCTCTCATCCTGTCTAGTAATCCCAAATTCCTTTTAGGCAGTGAAATAATTAAAGAAAAATATTCCAGGCATAAAAGGGAGGACAGCAGAAGCAGACATCATATAAACAACGACACCATGACAGAGAAAAACGTCAAAGCACCGCCAGACTTGTGACTCGACTCTGAAAGAGCTGCAGGGAGTGGGATTGCTGCTAACAAATTAAAACCACATTTCTTGGCAAATTGTTAAAGACAGACATATTTACATTTGTATAGAGACTGGGTGGGCACAAAAGATTAAAATGCTTCTCTAGCCCTTGAACTGCCAAGTTCTATTAGAAATATGTGCTCTTAAAATCCCAGGGTAAGCTCAGTCCTTTTTGTCACTRAAACTGCAGAAAAGGGTCTGCAGAAGTGAAGCTTACCAAGTCTTACCCATCTACCTGCTCATGATACTGGCCTCCCCAAACCTGATTTTAAGATCCTTTATACTTATCCAAAGAGATGTCTGGGGTTTCTATCAAAACCTACAGAGAAATATGACTGTCAGGTACAGAATATGCTTCCTTTAAGGTTTATCAGACTGAAAATTCTATATTTTTCTATCTTACTCAGCTTACTACTCACTCAGGTTGGAAAAGAAACCTCCCAAAACATAAAAGCAGTCACTGCCATCTCCACCTCTGTCCARGACAGCTGAATTCAGCAATACAGCATGGAAGATTTGTTAAAGAACTACCCAAGGATGGGCACTTGTGAGGAACCCTTACAAATCATTGTTTGGAAGCAGAGGGAAATCTTTGGCCTTTTCAGCATGACACTATACTCAAATACTCCTTTTTTTTTTTTTTTTTTTTTCCCAGTTGAAAGAAAGGTTTCCAATGTGAACACTGCTGTTCCCCTCTCCTGCCTCTCTGGTGTCATACTTCATAGTTGCCTCTTTCAGTGCCACGAGCTTATGAGATAATTAAATTTTATGTCTGGTTAACAAAAAAAGCTACCAATCCCATAATAAAAGAGTCTTAAAAATGCATTTATCAATGTGGGTCATCAAAATACAACAATGGGCTCAAAAAAATCAATTTTTCTATCACAGTGGCAAATGGCAGGGGACTATAAAGATAATAATACAGGCAAAGCTATGAACTAAAGTATTACTCCAGGCACWCACAATAAAACTAAAATTAGTGAAATGAATAACACAGGAGCACTTATTTAGGGGACCTTTATGTAAGCTTACAATTGCATGATTTCTCATAGTATCATTTCAAGCTGTATCATGAGCTCAACCATCAAAGATAACTTTTAGGTTTCAGAGGTGTCCTAAGAGATGACTGACAGATCAGGGAGGTCAGACAGGACTCCTTCCAATCTGATAAATAAAAAGAGCCCCTTAAAGCAAGCAAGGAGGCTTGTGAGGGAAGGATGGATGAGATACTACTATCTGATAAAAAAGTGACAGAGACAGGACTTTGGGTCTCAGCTCCTGCCCTCTCCCAAACCACATGAAGGAAAAGCTTCCCACAGTTTCAAGATGCAAATTTTTTGCATTTCCAATGTAGTGATGCATCAGTCCTGGCAGTTCTACTTACGAACTCTGACCACATCATAAAACACTTGCAGAAGTTTTCCAAGTATAGAAATGGATATTATTCTCAACCTGAAATACAGTTCCTTGATCGGATTTGTGGAATATTGCTCTAGATTTTAAAATTGACTGTCCTGCTCTAAAAGTCAGTAGATTCCAGTAAAAACCATTAAAGAWCATTCCATGTTACACACTGGAGTAYTGGCTTTGCCTTTGAAGTAGGTATTTTTAAGGAATGCTGGTGGTTTTCAAAAATACTCCAATTTCAATCTTGAAAAGAATGTAATAACCAGAGCAAACTGCATCTCTCCAGGAGGAGAGGAACTGTTCAACCTTCCCATGACCTAGCACAGAAAGCAAAATCAAACTCCTGAMGCAGTACAGTCTTCCACCAAAAGATTTTATTATCTACCACCAAAATTCCTTTTAATCTGACACCATGGATCTTAAGTTTTGCTTGTCAGGAGACCCCCCTGGCCTGTACTGTTTAGTCCAAGCATTAGCCCAGTCTGTTAAAGCCCCCATGATACACATTCTACTTTCTTAAAACACAAGGTGTGAACCCAAGTTTCTCTCTCAATAYGTAAGTCCTGGCAACTACAAACATTCCAAAGGTCCCCAAGGCAYCACCAGATTAGCTTAAAGCATATGATTTCTATGAGGAAAATGCCTTCTTCCTTTTGAAGTATTTGGTTTGGATTTTAACTGTGTTTCATATAYACCAGCAAGCCCAGACTATTCTGAATGTAAGAAATTCAGAGATCTTCTAGATTTGCATTTGAATGCTTGCTAAATAAGAGAAAACAGATTAATTCCTTCTGTAAATGGCAGAGAATAAATGAAATGTGATTCTTCCTAAAACCTAGAACTGCAGGGGAGCCTTTTTA